TAAAAGAAAAAATGAACACCAGGATAAAATAAACCAGCCTGTTTAATATAAACAGGTCTGTGGTTAAAAACGTCCTAAGCTTTTGTCCGGCCAAAAACTGCCGGCGTCATCAGAGTTAGAATAGCAGGAGATCAGGAAGGCAGCTCATATAGCCTCCTGCCTCTGCGCCCGGCTCCTTGAGCGTGTCATCGGCCCGTTGATTGTGTTAATCCCTATCACGCAGAGTTGTTCCGCCTCAGGCAAACTGTCTTTGACTCCACTGGTTGTTTTACGATCCTCAAGTGCTCTTTTGGAGCATGTACAAGCACTTGGAGGGTGGCTGTCAATTCGTCCCTGCGCCGAGTCCCCCTCCCTCTCAGGACCATTATCCTCCCCCACCCCCAAGGCCGTTGTCGTAATTCCTCCACCCCAGTCCTGCAATAAGCAGCTGTTCCGGCATTCCTGAATGCCAGAACAGCTGCTTGTTGCAGGACTGGGGTGGAGGAATTACGACAATGGCCTTGGGGGTGGGTGGAGGAATTATGACAACGGCCTTGGGGGTGGGGGAGGATAATGGTCCTGAGAGGGAGGGGGACTGGGCGCAGGGACGAATTGACAGCCAAGTGCTTGTTCACGCTCCAAAAGAGCACTTGAGGATCGTAAAACAACCAATGGAGTCAAAGACAGTTTGCCTGAGGCGGAACAACTCTTTAACTGGCTTTTTAACCCTGAAGATGTTGGGAGCTCCCAACGAAAGCTCGGTTTTCAATTAAAGTATTTTTACTTAAACCCTCCTGGTGATCGTAAATTAATTAGTTATTTCATAATGAATACACCCGGGAGTCATATTTTTACAGATATCATTAACCATATAAGAACTTTTATCTCTAAATTATTATTATTAAATTATTTATTCCCTGGTGCTCACGTCTATTGACTGACTTTGAATATATATATATATATATATATATATATATATATATATATATATATATATATATATATATATATATATATATATATATATATATATATATATATATATATATATATATATATATCCAAATTTCTTTTTTCTGACAAAGAGTAAAGAATTAAATTGGCAGTATGGCAGTTGAAAATGTCAAGGTGTTCACAATCAGACCAATCTGTCTGAACTCCCTATATATATATATATATATATATATATATGTGAGTCTTTGGTCATTCGGGTTTTCTCCCGTGTAAGATTAGAAGTATCATAGCGACGTTTCGATGAAATCACATTCATCATCATCAGGCTTGTGCTTNATATATATATATATATATATATATATATATATATATATATATATATATATATATAAAGAGAACGTAAAAAACTAACATAGAATAAAGAAAACAAAGAAATAGAAAGAAAGGGGGGACAAACCCAAAGTGCAGAAAAAAGGATAAAAAGAAACAGAAGTTTCTGATTGCCTTTGTAGAAAATACAAGTAACTCTTACTCTACAATTACAAGAAAAGCTCACCTTTTTCTATTATTCATTTTTTGTAATCATAAAAATGTATCATAAATAAGTCATAAATGTACTTTTCCCAATCTCATGCAAAAACTCAAGGTCTTTCAGGTATCCATAAACATTCTTTTCTCTGATCAAATAAGTTAATATAGCCATTTCTGAAAATTCAAGTTTAGATTTCTACCTTCAACTTTTCAGAATACCCAGAACAAGCATGTCAGTGAAGATTCTACCACCACCATTCTTCCAATAAAGGAAAAAATATTAATATAATTGTTCATTAACTTACATGATCTGATTTTCCATCTACCACACAGGAAAAAGGGAAATAAATAATAACTTGTTAATACTATTTTTTGTTCACAATAGGAAGAGTTCTAATCTTAATTAGTTGCCAACTACAGTTCCCAGCCCTCCATTTTTAATTAGGATAGAAGCTCTACATGATAAAATATACTAATTCTTTTTCTTTTCTTTTTTTTTCAGGGCAAGTTCAGGCAAGAAACGAGAAAGTTTTGTGGAGGTTCCTTGTTCTTCCTATTTGTGGCTGAGCCAAAGTGCTTCAGCAATAATCTTCTGTTTTGACTGTTCTTTGGCATTAGAAATTGTTTACCTGCTTGTAAGTTTGGATGAAGGGAGAAAGTATAAATAAGCATGGATTAAAGCATCAAACTGGAACTTGATCCCAAAATGTGTACACTCTTAGCTGCTGTATTTGCTTTGCTACCTGAATTAATTAATTAATTAATTAATTAATTAAATTAATTCAGGGCTGCAAAAAGAGAGGGAGGAAGAGAGGGAGGGAGAGA